TTGCATACATTGCATACATTGCATACATTGCATACATTACATACATTACATACATTACATACATTATACATTACATACATTACATACATATACATTACATTTACATACATTACATACATTACATACATTACATACATTACATACATTACATACATGACATACATACATTACATACATTACATACATTGCACATTACATACATTACATACATTACATACATTACATACATACATCACATTACATTACATTAAATTACATTACATTACAGTACAGTACATTACACTACATTACATTACATACATACATACGTATTATATATCTATGTGTGTGTGAGCCATCTGAACAGATGTAAAACTTCTAAGTTTCGCAGGGGGCAGTGGCCCACTCATGAGTCCACTGCCAACGAAGCTACTCATGAGTTGGGAGGATATCGGGACTGATGATCCGGACGTGCCTGCACTTTTGTCAAATCCAATTTTCGTCAGTGGCAACCGGCTAAGCCAAGAACCGGCATGTCTTTCAAACAGTTTTTCAAACCAAACTCCAACTTTAGGACTTCCGGTCGATGTCAGGTGGGAACGATTTGGCTTAGTTGAATGTACTCGTCATTAGGGAAGGGTCTGCTTCCAATTTTTCCATTCTGCTCTGGCTAAGGCGATGGTAGCTTCTTGATACTTTGTCGGGTCTCTTCGCCGACCCATTCCTGTCAGGTGTAATTGGAGTGTTTTTGCATGTAAGATGCATTCCACAACAAAATTCGCAATGACAGTTCTGAGCAAGTGTGTGCTTTATATAAAACTAATTATAGATATTATGTATATATTTTTCCTGATGTGATATTCATGATGGTCATCCATACCAAGCTAAACATACAATACCTTAAGGGTTCCAACGGCCTTTCCAGCCACCATCCAACAAGACACTGTCCGGCCAGGTATGCCTTGGTACTCCAAGCGTCCAGCAACTTCAAGGCCTGGAATAACAGGGGGAAGTCTATGGTACTGAGCGGATATTTATTGGAGATCTATCGCATTTTTGAATAACCTACTGGGCACTTAGATTCTTTGCTTACAGTATTACAAATAAAATGTATCTGTTTCATACTTGCTGGATATTTATTATATGTATGTATTTAGCTCTCTAACTGCTGTGATGCTGATTGAAACAAGTCAACACCTGATGCCCGAACCCCCACTCCGCGCCTCATCCACGGCTTCTTGAGCGAGATCTGGAGCTGCCACACCTGGCATCCCACAATGGGGAACCAAGGGGTGGAAAGCCATGAAAATCATGTCTGGATTTTCAAAGGGCTTCCCACGTGTCCAAAATCAACTCAACAATTGCAATAAATTGCATTTTTGGGGGCAAATGAGGAAGCCCCTCGTAAAATCGGGTCGCCCATTGTAGAACCCCGTATGTCCCAGCCACCGAGGCATCGACCTGTCTTGGAATCTTTTTCAGAAGCTTGTAACCTCAAGGGCGCCAGGGAAAACATCTGCAAGTTCTGTGTGACTTTGAATCTTCCCAATAAAAATGCGTATATCAATTTATATAGTAGGTTGTACCTTTCTGTGTATGGACTTCCCCGAGTCTTCCCCTCAGATCAGGTGTTTAAATTATTTAAATGATTTCGGACATTTTGGGACTGGCACTACTGCAGACTTGCTGGAGACATAGCCCAGAGCTGTGCACGCGGAACTCAAGGGAGCTCTCAGTTGGTTTAACCTCTGAATGGTCAGCAATATTAAGATGCCTTCTCGTTTGAGGGTATAGGACATCTAAAAGATCCAATACTCAACATGAACGCAACTACTTGGATGTTTCGACTGTTAATTAAACATCGATTGGAGCAATCAAATCATCAAAATCATCCCAAATAGGATGGACAACCAAACCAACCAAAATTGCAAACTAATTTTGATTATTTGTCCAATTCAAGCACCAAAATCTTGGCATTCCTGGGTCTGGGCCCCTGGCTGCCTTGCGAGGGACACAACTGGCTTTGGCATCGGGGTCCTGCCAGTTGGGATGAAATGGAGGGAACTGGCTCCCACCCCGTCTTCCAAATATGCTTTGAGCAGCGAAGGCAACAACCTATCAAAATTGAACTGGATAACCTATTAGAAAAAAAACACACACACACACATACACATATATTATATATATATATATATTGCTCAAAAACCACCTGTACGATCCATTAAAACCATCTCCCTCGATTCCAGTCCAGGGAGCTGGAGGAATCCCCGGTGCCCGGATGGCACGCCTGAATCTAAAGACGAAGCTCTCCCCGGTGCCATAGTACCTGGATGCGTGATGTGGCACCAGCAGTCTGTGAGAGACCTGTCGCAGTACCAGAAAACATTTCAATATACGTATAAGATGTGTATATTATTAAATATATACATTTATATGTACATACTATAACATATGATATATATATATATAATTATATATATATTTATGCATATGACATCATATGACATTAAAAAACAAGGCAAGCAAGCTCTAGCTCACTAGCACCCCACACCCCACCCTCACCCTCAGGGGTGCCGATCACCCTGGCGCCAGCTCATCGACGCAAAACCACCAAAGACGTAACCACGATGGTCCTGCAGAAAGCCAGATTCCGAAGACAAGGTTCCAACATCATAACCAATAATGTCCTTTTGGTAAAAATAGAGGGGCCGGTTTGGTATACCATCTATCATCATTTACCTGTTGTTAAAGGGGTAAACTAACCCCTCTATTAATCAACCAACCAGTGGGAAAAGGACATCTATGATCATAACATCCTTAGTTTCAAATTTCTCATGAATAAAAGGGGAACATATGAACAAGTCTGAAAGCTGCGCCCTCCATGCGGACAAATCTGCGACGCCACACTCCCGGCTTAGCCTTGTTGAGTTGTGTTTCATTAAGAACAAAGACACGGAAAAATCCACTGTTCTGCATCCCGGAACGACTCGTACGACCCACAGAAAAGGTCCCAGAGCCTGGATCAACAGAAGGCTGGGACCTTCCTTCTGCATCCGACGGTAGAAGGTCTTCAGAGATACCCCGTGCAAACCTGAAAGGAAAAACACAAAGATAGAAAGAAACAAAAAATAGACAAAACACATGCAGTGGAATTTGCTATTCTATGCAATGTCGTGAATGAAAGCAAACCCCAAGAAACGGACCAACAGTTGTTGATCGTCAACGTGCACTCAAATACATGTGTATTGAATTTGAATCTATGTGCATATAATATCACATAATTGCACATACACGTAATATATATATATAGATACTATATAATGTAAATATATTATATATATGCAAATATATCTATGTCTACATGTGCACTTATGTATATATATATATACACACGTATACATTACATACATATGCAAATGCATAGTATTTACATCTGGATACTACATGCTGCATGTCTATATATATATATAAATACTATATATAATATATATATATATATATATGCACAGTCTCCAATATGCAAATGCAAATTCAATGCCGCCAAGGCACGTGGTGAGTAGACCAAGCGCCAGGAGGTCTTCCATTGGATCTGGGCCTGGGAGGCAGTACTCGCAACTGCGGGTAGCGACATCTGGCAAGCAACTACACACACACACACACGCACATATGTGTATGCAAAAATATTATACATAGATGTTTTTTTGTTTGTCCAAACGAAACGATGATATGTGTGAATGTTGCTTTTCACCAACCAACACGTTTAATACGAACATCAAAACCAGGAGCTCAAAGTTCAAAAGAAAGAAGCAGGAGCTGCAGTATGGGGGCAATCTCAAGATTTATGCTTTTTGCAACACCGTCATATTATGGCAATTTCATTTACAGAGAATTGGATGTTCAATTGTATATGAAACGCAAAACTCACAGCAACAAGTTTCTTGCATGTTCTTGCAACATTTAATTTGTCCAAGACGCACGCCCTCAGAAGCAAATAAAATCCCATTGGCGTCCATTGATGTCCATTGGCCCATTTCACATAGACACACAATGACACACAGATCAAAGACTGAAATTGAGAAGTACGTGTAAAAATGATTAAAAATTAGTAAAACCATTCCAGTGCTCCAAACCGTAGGCTTTTTCTCCCAGGTCTTTGAGCTTCAGGATCTTCCACAGGCTGCCGCCACAGCGACACAGTCGTCCCGACAATGGCAGTTCACTCCATATGAAGCACACACTTTTTAGCTGAACATGACATGAGGGAACTTGCGGACACCAAACTTGCAACTGTCGATAGGATATTGTATTCCATGATATTTATGCAGATTGTTCAAATGCCCATGCAATTGAAGGGCCGGAAGCAGCTCGGACCAACAAACGGATTAACGCTAACTCTGCACACCTGCAGCTGCTACGAGAGCAAGATGTGTGTGTGCACTCCTAGAGGTATACTTTTCTTGAGGTACAATGAAGAAAGCTGGAGCTTGATGCAGAGGACACAAAAATTGGAAATCTACTCAAGTGATTTGCCACACAATTTGTTGCACAAGGTCCCCCAGTCGAACTAGTAGCCAGTCCGTGCATATCCAGTGAGGTGGTAGTAGTTAGTTTCCCATGTTTCCCGTCTTAAAGCCTTCTTAACTTCAGCTCTGTTCTGCTATCCATCAACCCCAAGAAAAGTCGAACGGAAAGCGCGAGGGCTCACCGAAAGAAACGTGCCAATGGTCCTGAGTACTGCGAATTCCATGCGTTTGCACAATGTCAAGCCTAACATACTCATAGCCCAAATTTCTTTTCTAGGAAAATATGAGAAAATGCATAGATTGAACATAGTCTGCGACTAAATGCAACCAGAACCAACAACTACACCAAAATTCATGGATTACTAGGGCTACCCCGCCAAAGTTCCACAAATAAGATTATTTAGCACCACCATTGGGATCCATTGGGAGGGTACCATTGGACCAAGACTCCTTTCTTTTTCGGCATCGGCGGCCTCTTCGTGGCTTCGATCTGCAAAATCTCCTGGCGTGGTGAGCGACGCGCCTGCGACGACCGGGTCTCAAGTCATCACGACTTCGTGGTCCAAACAAAGAATCAATTACCATGATCCCAGATATGGATAGATATAGGGTGATACAAGAAAAAACTGTATTTCACCAGTACTTGATATACTTGCTAGACCCCATTGTCAACCATGATTCATATGAGGGTTTCCATAAATGGCGGGGTACCCCATGATTTTCCATCCAGAAAGGGCGCCTCGAGTTTGGGCCTCTCTAGGAAGCCTTGGGTGACGATGGGATCCACCTGCGGCTGCCCAAAGATCCACAAGGTCGGGAAGGCTTGCACCTCGCGCAGCTACGCGCAGCTACGCGCAGCTACGCGCAGCTTGGAGTTCTGACAAAACGGAAAATGATGAAACGTCAACATCTTGGGATTTACAAAAAAACATGATAGACTTTCAAAAAATGGATGGTTTAACACAAGTCAAAACTGAAACTGACTCGCCATTTGCAGTTCCATCGATAGGCTATTATTTCTTGAGCTGCAACCTTTTCCTCAAATTCTCGAAGGGTCGGTGCTTGCAATGTGAAATTGGAAAACTCATAGTCGACCCTATGACATCACTATGACAACAAAATGCACCAAGGGCATGGCCGCTGCATGCCGCTGCTAGCGCCCTTCCAGCCTGAAATCCTTGTGCCAACTGTGGAAATTCCTGCCCGCACTGCACGTGGATTGTCCAAGTAACATGAAAGTCACACCGGAATGTGACCAAAGTTTGTCTCTAGTCAATGCCCATATGTTGAAAAAATAGCTTGTACATATACATCATACACACAAACAATTTCATATAATTACAACTATTCATGTGTGATTACTGTTTTTACTATATAATTTAATCAATACTCCCTCCATCGCTGTCAGTGTTCTTATTGTACTATTGTTGTCACTAGCGGTATCATTATTGTAGCATCCTTAACATCATCTTTACACTCAAATGGCACTAGTTTGTGATCATCATCTGCACATTGGGAATTACCATCAGTCATTACTATTGGAGTACTACTATTATTGTAATTGTTATAATATTGTTAGGAATAATAGTTCCTATCATGACAATGTAATAGTACCAACATATATCACATTTTTAGAACCGATAGTAACAGCAATACTGACTATTACTATCGTTATATTATCATTACAGTCAGTATTGGCAATATCACTATCATTGTGATTGCTGCTATGTTTGGTACCAGTATGATCATTATTGTCACTAATTACTATATATATATATATATGTCAATGTATATCTCTCTCCATCGCCATCCTGTGTGTGTGTGTGTGTGTCACTATGATCACTGTTCTGTGTTGTTTCCTCAATAATACCATTATGATGTCTTCTATTAGTTTATTTATCACTATACTACCATATGTGCTCCATCATGTTTTCAAACACATCATTACCATTCTTACATTGTTCTTCCTATTGTGTCCCTATACACCAAGAACATCCATGAAATATCATGACCTATGACTGAAATCTCCTCATTCTCACCGCCGTCCTCCGCATCCAGCAGGAACACCTTCAGAGGCGCCAAGGCCAAGGAGCCCCCGACGAAGGCGGTGCCGGCGCCGGCCATGGCCATGGAGCGCCCCGCGGCAGCACGGCTGCGGATCACCTCCTGGGGCTGTGGCTCAGGGGCAGGACTGTAAAATGGTAGTTTTACATAGATAGATAGATAGATAGATAGATAGGTAGATAGATAGATAGATAGATAGATATATATATATATATATATACGTATATATATATATAGTTTTAGTTTATACCAGTCTTAGCATAGTTTTCTGATGTTTTAATATGTTTTATGGATATCTTAGGTAATTCTTAGGTGATCTTGGGTGATCTTTGATGAATTTGTGGGCTTTGAGATATTGAAATCTTTGATCCAAGTGTCCAGCTATCAGGATATCATCCTTCGTTTGGGATTACGCCCTATTATTCCACCCAGGCCGCAACTAGCAAGGGCCAAGATACATTCCTGAACACGAATAACCCTCAACCCAAACACAAAGCAAAAACAAGTCTAAGGGACATCCACTTGACAGGTTGGGAAAATGATTTTCCTGTTGAGCAAGTCCGCTTTTGGCATCTGAAGATGGTAAAATGTAGTGTACAGGTCCTGCAGCACAGGCAACTGCTTGGCACAGTAGGCGCAGCCCCGACGGGAGAACTCCAACACCACCTGCACCGCGACGCCAAGCCCGACACATGCATGGATGGAGCCCTGCCCATCTGCAGTTGGCATATAGATAGCGACTTGGGAATATAAATCCAACAGCAACCTTGTTGACTATCCCAAGCCATCCAGGCTTGGCTTTGACTGTCTTGTCCTGCTATAGGCAACATATGGCAACAGTATGGCAACATACCATGGTGTGGCGTGTCTCTTCTATGAAATTTCGCGGCTGTGTAGCCCTGTGTGTCCCAAGCTATGGCCTGCTCATTTCCCCCCACCAAAGCCGTTTGGATGCTTTGCGCCAGGAATTCCTGCCAACCTGTGGGCATCTGGCTGATCATGGACACGCAACCAACTGATAATCCGCTTATTGTCCAAAACATGTGTAAACTTTAGCTATCTGGTTTGGTTTGGCATTTGGTCCAGCAATATCAGGAATCCGTTCGAAGTGCATCTTCAGCCACATCAATGTGTGGATGTGAGTCAGAAATGTCGGACAAAGTAAAAGGCCATGGATCGCTTTTGTCAAAAACAAAACCGCACACCCAAATTTTGTGGTCTGTAGTAATCCCGTCCCAAGATCATTGAAGAGCTTTGACCTCTTTCAACATCTTTCAACTACCAATACTTGTGCAATGTTTACGTCACCAACCTTTAGGATTCTGGTCTCATGTGCGAAAGTCGTTTGAGGTCATGATGATTCATCAGTCTACAAGACTTCACCTGATAGATTGTATAACAACTGGCAGCATTCCAGTTTCAGTACATCCATCCATATCCACCTACACCATTGTACAAACATATCCATTTACATCTATTCCCATCCATATCATCCATTGATGTCCATTTGAATCATCATCCTCTGTCGGTCTGTCGGTTCTTCATCACGACGCCTGGCTCTGCATGTCCTGCAGACACCCGAGGATCAGGTCGTAACACGACCTGGCCGCGGTGAAATGACGACTATTGCCATTCAATTTGGGTCAACTCATTTCAATCTGTGATGTAGATATCTACCACATCCATCCACATCCTACCACCCAATGATCACTAGCTAATTGAATTCTATTGAATCGATTTGGACACGGCAGATCAAACAGCCATAACAATAGTCATGCAGTACGGAAGCTGCGTGCCAATTTAGGGACCACCTGAAGAGGAATTGTGCACCATTCTCCATGACAACAAGGTCTAAAACATCCTAAGACCAAACTGGGCCAACTAAACCTTTGGCGGTCATGTTTTCAGTTGCTCTTGGTATACCAATTTGATTTGCATGGCCACTGGCCATCCCAAGAATCCTCAATATTTTGTGGGTATATAATTATTATTATATATATACTGTAAGTATATATATATATATATGGTATGAGTACTTCGGACCAACATGGTTCACTACTGTTTAATCCTCACATTTTTACTATATACAACTTTTTCCCAACATTTTGGCCCTGGATGCGCCTCCCCGCTCTGCAGCAACACCAGCTCGCCGCTGCGCACAAGTTGCCCCTGTGCGTCCGTGGCACTGGCTGTGGCCGCGGTCGCTGAGTCGGGGGATCGGAAGCGCTCGCCCAGGCAGATCAAGCCATAGGTCAATCCTCCGGAAGGTCAGTTGGCAAACTTGATAGGCCCTGAATTGGGGAGTCTTTATTAAGATATTGCATATATATATATATAAAAATATTAATATGGCGTGTGCTCTCATGATTTATACCACCCATGCCCCAAGGAAATTCATGCCATAAATCCCCTATTGAGGATGATGGTTTATAACTTTTCTGGCATATATATATATACAATTATATATCTATCTAAATACTAAATAGATAAATAGTTTTTCTATCTATATATAAATAAATATGTGCGTGTGTGTGATTGTTTTATTATACGCGAACCTCTGCAAAAAAAATAAAATGATGCAAGATTGAACCTTGGTCTGATGGCTGAAATCCTACCAATGCAACATTTGGGATGGTGTATGGTTTTGCTCTTGCCACATTACAAACAACAAGTGAAATCGGAAGGGAATCAGTGACATCAATACAGGCCTTGGATGGCGCACTGTATGATGTACCCGGCATGGAGGAGAAACAAAACTCCAACAGGAAACAAGGTGTCCCTCCTTTTCGGACAAGACTAGACACTGACACATGATTACTTTTTAAATTCACTATATCGGCCACACATGGCCAAACCGTCCGGTCTTGTGTGCTACTACAGTGCTGCAGTACCAGCCTGTTACTGATGTTTCCACATGTTTCCACCTTCCAAACAACCGTGGCAGTCCTAGCGCAATGCCCAAGCCGAGAAAGGTTCGGTAGTTGTAGCCTCAATGGTGACATATGGTGACCCGGTCGGGCTTTCGACATGTGACGAATCTCAAGTCACACAACGATCAAAGTAGATCCAAGTAGCTACCTGTACTGTAGATGCGGTACCCTGCCCAGCCCAACAACAGCACGGCAAGGCCCGGAATGATCATCACAATCAAATTGACCAAGGCCACCTAGGCCGAGCCATCAAGCATCCCGAACCAGGATTGGCGGGTTCCAACGTTGGAAGTTGAAACATGTTGGAACTCTCAATTTGCGTTCACCATTGAGAATTTTATAGAATTTTGGTAGCCACAGGTACCCTCTGGTAAACTAACATAGCTATGGAAAATCACAATTTTTAATGGGAAAACTCACTATAAATGACAATTTTCAATAGCTATGTTAGTTTACCAGAGGGTATCCAAAAATATCAATGCATCTTGCAGGTCTAAGGAACGTATTCCACGGTGCTGCGCTTACGTGGTTCCCAACTCAACCGACATCCCAGTCATCCCGGCACAGTGACAGGGCACACTTGTGACAGCCAGAACGCCAGCAACACCCCTCTGAAGTGAGGCCAGCATGTCAGATGCCTCGCGTTGTCTTTCCCAACAACAAACTCTCCATCCTATAATGATTTTCAACAGAAAACATTGGCCTTTGAATCTTTGACTTTTCCCGCTCCAGCTACAGCTCTCTCTTTCTCCCTCTGGATATTATTGCATTGGTTTGTCAACCTTATTTCTTCCGTTAAATGTCATAGAATGGGGATACATCCATATTTTTAGGCAAACTTGTTGTTGTTGATAGTTGATATCTCCATGGTCACTAAGTAGTATCCTGATGATTGTAAGGCATATGCGGCATACGTATATGATATTATTCCCGTTGCTGGGGAACATCCTCTTTATTCAGAGCTAATCTTAGATACCCTGCACAAAATAGATCTGCGGCTGGGCATGATTTTTTTTTACCAATATCAAAATGTATCAAACACACCAAGGTTTCCCCAAGGTTTCCCCTTCAATCCCATGCTTCCAGCAGGTCACCATCGAAACAAAGCCGAAACAAAGCCTGCCTTTGCTTCAGCTGCACCGATGCTGGATCCCAGAGAAAAGCTCAGGGCATCATGCGACAGTGCCAGGAGCACGAGGGCGGCTACCGCCTCCAGTGCTGTTAGGAAACCTCACACCTGAAACCAAACACATATGTTGCATACTGTTTTAACATGTTTTAACCCATGGAAGGTATCAACTTATCAGCCATCAAAAAAATGTGATGCTTCTTGTTGGGGCAAATGATGTGATAAGGGTGTGCCAGTATCACAACTTTTACATGTAGTTAGAACATCATAGAACATCATTATACAGTGTAACAACGACCTTGACCAATTGTATAGTAACGAATAGCCAAATTTTCCAGCAATGCGAGGTCTAAACCATCCCAACATAGGCATGGAATTCCAGAACTGGTGCAAACTGAATTCAATCGCAGGCTAAAACAAACAGGTTCGAAAGTGTCAACGCCCTTCTAAAGCCGTGCAACTATTTGGATAAGGCTCAAACATAATTGTAGCCTTACATGTTGGGATTGTTTCTGATCGTGACAATGACCCAGTTTTTGGGCCCCCAACTTCCGTGCGACCAGGAGACCAGGATCGATCCGCTACGTGTAGCCATGGCTTCGCCCAGCGGGACCGGCCACAAAACTGGAAGCTTCGGCAGTTTCCCACGGAGCCCCAAAAAACATCCATCCACGTGGGATAACCTCAGGGCCTCAGGGGACATACTAACGGGGCAAATTGACCAGTGGCAAACTCAAGGCCAAGCCGTGATTTGGGATAGTCTTTCTGAATCTTTCTGACTGATGAATTTCGGGGCCACAACTAAATTGGATTAAATTGGATCCTCACAAATTTAGTGGCCAATCGGTGCCAAACTCCATTGGATCACCACAAATCTCATCGGACCAATGGGTTCCGCACCGGTAGGAAGTCCTTGAGCACCTCCGCCATGGCACTGTTCAGCAACGTGGCGGAAGCCACCGTGGAACCGCCCGGGCTCAAACCGGTGCCTTCCATGTCATCCTGGCCAAGGGGATCAAGGTGATGCATGGTGATGCCCCAGAGTTTGCTAAGTTGGATTAAAGCTGTAGGTTAACTAAGATCTGATATAATATAACTATGCAGCCTATGCATTATATATTTAATCATATATATATATATGTATATATATATATATGCATGTATATATATATATACATATACTAATAGAGAGAGAGAGAGAACGAGTTGCATGGGCTGATAAAGCAACTTATAACTTCGGGATATTTGAGGGCTATTTGATGGTGTCATCAGAAGGGGATTGAATGTTTGTTGACTCATACTGTATACTCAGGAAAAAAATATAAAATAATACTGGAAGTTGGTGTCTGTAAATGAAATCTATGCAGAGCACCCAAAACATCAGAACAAAACGCTCTTCGGACTCTCAGCCAAGGAGCGAGAAATATTCGCCGTCCAGTAGTTTCATCCACCTCATGAGTTGGAGTTTTTTGGCACCGCCCCAAGAGATTGAAATTGTCAAATGGGAATGCCGGAATTGATTGTGCTGGTAATCCCCGTGAAACATGGTAGTACAACCATAAACGATAACGAGGAAAACGAAATGATTGCGAATCCCAACTTCCAAAAACCTAACTTGACCTAGCTGAAGCCATCAACTCATGATATATTGTTGCAATAATCTGGGCTGGCCAACGTGAATATACAGCAAAACAATGCAAAACAAAATCCCAAATTGACAGTCGCTTGGCAGCCCCACAACACACAGAGTGGGTGAGTTGTCCACCGTGACGCGGATCACAGGTGAAGGCTCCTGGTGAGGATCACCCAGCTGCCCAGGCTGGTGGATCTGGCCCAGTCACTAAGATGATGTCATTTTTATATTTGTTTTATCCCATCCAAGATGAGTTGATTGGTGGCTTCAAGCTATCCAACTATCTAACAGTTATGGTCATGTACTGTAGACTTGATGATTCCAAACGTGGATGGAAAGGAAAACCACATGAAAACATCAACAAATGAATAGCAGAGTTGCGATGTACATTGTTTTGAATACGTATGTGTGCCCGCGTATTTATAGTATCCATAAAATTTATATACATATACGTATTATTTAAGCACACGTATTTCTATCTATATGTATCTATGTAACTATGCAGCTATGCATGATAGTTATTACACACTTTGAAGTTCCTAGGTTAGACACCCGCATTGATTCTACTTTGATGGCACCAAATCACCACATCAGTTCCGGCCTTGGTGGACTTCTCCCTCTCCATGCCTTTGCCCAGTCCGTTGCCAGGGTGAGCTGATACCCATTATGAGACATAGATGTGGAAAACCAATGGTTTCCGTAGGAACATGTTCTACACATGATCGGTTTTCCACATCTACATATAAATATATATATATAGATATATTGGTTTACAGGAAGGTATCATTCTACAAGTTCAACTGGAGACATGACGAAAAATTGACCAACTTGAAATCTAGCCGGATGTGCTTCAAGGTGAAATGAAACAACATTTTTCCTTCTTGATCCGTCGCTCGCGGTGCACAGTATGAGAAGGCTTCCTGCTCCTCAGTTGGGTACCAAATCCATCAGTTATCATCAAGTTATCATCTAATTTCTCCAGAAAAATCAGTAAATTGTGCCATTTCTCGGATCATTTTATGGGGTTATCACAGTTTTAAACAACGCTGACCTGGGATCTATGGATCCGAGATACAGCTGGGCCACAAGGTCTGCTTCTCCGGAGGGGGTCGATCTTTCACCTGGGAGAAATGATGGCCACGCTATAGACGCAATGGAAAATGACGAAATCTGTCGACACATGGAATCTATAATCTATAGAAAACAAACCTATTATAATCAAATATAATTAACATATATTATCATATATATCATATATTATCATATATTAACGTATCACTTAGTCTATTGCGCACGTCGATCTTTAGAGTTCTTCATCAAGGCGATGCCAGTGATCGCCAAACCCCGCTGCCAATCCCCAAACCTTGATATAAGAGCTGAGCGATCCATTCGGGAAGTTCAACTATGGTGACCCATACCAAATGAACACGCTGATGTCATAAAATACGCTATAGACGCTATAGAATATGAATAATTCATATATTAATATATATCTAATGTAAATATGAACTGACAATAACAATGATAATAATAGTATAATAATAATTATACTGCAAACATGTTGCAATGTAGTTTTTGTTTAAGACTTCGGATACGCATCTTGACCACGAAAAACACAACCCACCTGAGCTGGAGGCAACACCATGGCCTCGGGGATTTTTTTGGTGGAAACCAACAGTTGGTATAATCGAACATACAGGCTACATCCGACTACTGTACATTTTATTTCCATGGTTTTTCCAGCGTTGTTTTGATTGTTTGATTGAAGTTGTCCTGAGAGACTAATTAGTGTGCGCATGGTATCCTGAAATATGAGTGGAGTATTATGGTGGAGTATTATAGTGGAGTAATAAATATCGCCGTTTTACCACCAGGGGCATGTCCTGAGACTCCTAATCCCACGGTATTTTTCATACTAACATGGCAAAGGATGTATGGTGCTCTCACGCGATCATGATGAATCATGCCTCATAGCTGGGTGTCACGGGGGGTGACATCGGGGGGCATCCAGCATGGTCTTTGTCAGGGCCGTGATGATTCGAGCTACTGATAGGATCTGATGGCTGTTTTCAACCCATCCCAAAATCATTAAACATCATTAAACACCCAAATAATCAAATAATTTTAAATATGCGAGTTATTCAGTTGGAGAAATCATCCTGCAGGTTGGGACTATTCGAAACCACCACCGATCTCGACTGCAGTTCCATGTTGAAGACAGGGATTGAAATCGCTCAGCATCTGGCACGTGCTAGAGCACTCTTCGCACGCTGTGAGGCCTCTCCATCGCTTAGATGCTCTGGCCTCCAGCTGTCAATGATGTCCGGATGCCCCGTAGCATCGGTTTTCGAAGTCCTCAAATGGTGTTCATTGTGGAACCCCTGCATGTTTGGCAAGATCCTACGAGGCATTGTGAATCTTTCACCACTTTTTATCAATTTGATCCATTGAAAACACAGCACCATGATGCAGCATGGCACCTCACAATGCCAGGAGCCACTACCAAGCCTCGGATGTAGACACGGAGTGCTTATCCCTTGCCCTGCAAGGCTTCACCTTCCCACAAGGCTTCACCTTCCCACAAGGCTTCCAAAGATTCCCTCTGCTAAGCACTGCAGGGAAATATTGATGTTCCACTCTTGGAAGCCTTCTATTTTTCCTGGGACTGGCCCTGTGACAGTGATAAAACAGCTTTACAGTAGGCAGTTAGCCCCTGATCACAGCTTATGGTGCTGGCTTGGTGATCTTCAGTCAGAAAATGCCAGAGCATGCTACAGCTGTAGCCCATCTGCCAAGAAGCCCATCTCAGGCCCCAGTTTTCGGCGCCAATCCTGACCACAGTGCAGGGTGCTGCCTGGTGTCCGGCTATATCCGGCTTGGGACTTCGGGAAGCGACATGCCCAGCTGTTGCTGCCCAGCCTGCACATCCCATTCTGTGATGGGCCAGGGAACCGGCACGACCTCATGGCCAGGTGGGGTCGTGGCTTTTGCAACGACTTGGCTATTGGGCATCCCTGGCGAATTCCAGCACCACCAGGGTGGAAGCCTGTCATTGAGCTCAATTGACGCGTACTGCATAGTGCATATATACTCCATATAGTTGCTCCCACAATTGACAAATTGAAGGAGAACATGTGAAATCCTGTTGCATTTAGAATGCTCTAGATAATCCGTTTCCTAATTCTGACAGGACGCACCATATTCATATTCTAATATACCTTGAAAGGTTGGCAATGGTTTTCCAAATGTTTGTGACTTGACCCCAGCTGCCAGAGATCACTCCCGCATTCCAATTTCAGCCCATCCTGTGCCACAAAGCTCTCGGGCGTAGCATCTCGCACGTGGAACTGCCCGGCAGGCTGTTTCCAAGTCCAAGGTTGGAATTTTTGCCCACACTCTCTGAACTGTTTTTGGATGACCAACCGCCGCGCCCGAATCTCTGTTGGGGATGTGCTCCAGGGTCACCTGCCTCCAACAGAATCTTCCTGCGCACGAGTGGGTCGATGATATGTCTCTGCCTGGGCTGAGGTCTTGGCCTGTGAAGTCACTTCCTATCGCAGGCCTTCTCAGTGTCTGGTGGCTGCGGACCTATCTATAGCCATCTATGCGACGGGCTATCCATGAAGGTAGATATGTAGATAAATACATGTATGATCATGTATGTATGTGCATGTATGTATGTGCGTGTGTGTGTGTGTGCGTGTGCGTGTGCGTGTGGGTGTGGGTGTGTGTGTGTGCGTGTGTGCGTGCGTGCGTGCGGGCGTGCGGGCGTGTGTGTGTGTGTTTGTATTTGTATTTGTTCAATACAATCTCTGAAATGTCTAGACACCATACTTTTGTCACACACGCCTCACTCCAGCTTAAAACTTTCGAGACAAGAACCTCTCAACCCAGATTCGTCAGTCATACTCACCAAACCTGTCTTCAAGAAATCAAAGTCTTCCAACAAGGGATGCAAAAACTACCAAACACTGACCATTTTCTGCCCAGTGGCACTGTTTCCATGACAGCATCCAGCTGACCTGGATGAAGAAACATTCCATGACAGCTTGCACCTCCAGTGA